TCCACTTGTGCCGATATAGTAGATTTCCTTATACTTTTTCTTAACTTACAGCTTGTCTGTACAATAGATTTGCAGATCTAAGCAAGAGATGCTGGCATTTCTTCACCTCTCACGGCACCAGCACCAGCGCCACCCTGAATCAATGCCATGGATCTCTAACTGGTGAGCGAGCACAAGCGCAAACTGCTTATTATAATCCATCAGTCTCATGCTTTTTGGTGGGCACCACAAGACCCTGTAAATAAGGAATGAATGAATGAATGAAATTGCAACATCACACTAGTGTCCTGGTGTGCGTTTTATAAGGATGAACAAGTATGCATTGACTTTAACAATCATAAACTTTTCTAAACCCCACAAGACACACGCCCGCGAGACACTGCCATCCCCACGAGACACACGCACAACGTTGATGCTCCTCATGGGAGGCCAATATATTGCACAAAGCTATCCTGGCCAATTCAGCTCGTGAAGTATGGCTGCTGTAACTCTAACTTCTGTTTCAACTGTTTCTCCAGCAACAGCAGGGAGGCAACAATCTTGGGCAGCTCTTTCCAATCACAAGAGCTTCTTCTATGTCAAGGATGTCTACTACTTTAAACCCAGCTGTAAGAGTCCCTTTGCTCTCGTCGTGGAAGAGCTCAAGCAGTCCCTTGCGAGCGCTCTAAGTGTAGAAGAGTACTCTTTCCTGGCAAAAGCACAGGTGGTGTTGACCATCGCTCACGCCATTGCAAGGTTTGACGATTGGGAGAGCATGGATCGCTGCTCCATCCGAGACGAGCTTTGCAAGATTGATGAGTGCTCTGACGGATCACCAGTGTGCCGGATCCAGGTAAATAGATCTTACAATTATACCACATCGATTTGATTGGAGTTACATTTGTAGGTGACACGATTTAGCTGTGGTGGAATTGCAATTGGATTTGCCGTCTTGGATGGGTTGGCATCCTCAGCACTCCAGTTTCCAAAGTGGTGGGCCGAAGTCAATCGTGGTACGACCATGTCAACGCCGGAGAGTGGTGGTGATTTAGAGGCGACGTCGAGTGGTTTAGTGAAGTTGGCCAAAGCGGCCAGTGCAACCATTGGCAATCCTGTCAAGCGAGAGGTTTTGGTGATCAATCCTTGCAAAGTGGACGACCTGGTCCGTGAGATTGGTGGTACGCCTCTCGAGGCCACATCGGCATTGATTTTACAGTGCATGACCAACAAGGATGCCACCAACAAGCATGTCAGCGAGGTCAAGCACTGTGGAAAAGATGTTACTTGTGTCAGCATTCCTGCCTATGAGACTGATTTCGGGTGGGGAAAGCCGGTTCACTATTCTCCGTGGATTGGAGATGGAATGGTATTCATTCTTCCCAGGGAAGAAGAAGAGGGAACGGCTATGGAGGTGCAAATGTCCCAGGAGCAAATGGAAAGGCTGCTCAAGAATGCGACTTTATTTGCGACTAGTAGCACAAGAAAGAAAGGCGGCAAAGTTGTTATTTTGGATTCCATTGATACCATCGTCCCTGCAATCCCCACAAAGCAGCCATGCTGGGTATCCCTCACTAACTTGGACAAGATGCTCTTCAAGAACTCGTACCTGAAGTCTGTGCACTTCTACAAAACCAGTTCCAGTATTGACAGCTTCAATCATATGGTCTCCAAGATCAAGGATTCCCTGTCCAAGGTTCTGGTGGATCACTACGTGTTTGCCGGGAGACTCCAGGAGAACGAGTGCGGGGAGAAGGCAGTGAATTGTAATGATGCCGGGATCACGCTGAGAGTTGCGCACACTCTAGCGAGGCTGGACGAGTGGGAGGACTCCATCGAGGAGGAGCTGAATGCGCCTGAGTGGCTGATTGAAAATATTCCAGAGGCGCCATTCTTCCATATGCAGGCAAGTTGAGAATTCTTCTCAAATCTGAAGCCCTTTGTATTTTTTTTTCTTCTCTCAGGTGACACGGTTTGCTTGCGGTGGCATCGCCGTGGGTCAAACCTGTACGGAGCTTGTCCTGGACGGATATTCAGGCCTTTTCTTTCAAAAGTCGTGGGCCGAGGTCAACCGTGGGCTGCCAATGTCAACGGTGCCCGTCTTCAAGCCCGAGCTCCTCATGCCGCGGGAGCCGCCAGTGGTCAACGTGCCGGTCAGGGACTACGTGGCAGTGCCACCAGAGGCCGTGGAGAGCTACATGGCTGATACATCAATGGCAGCACCCACCTCATACTGTCAACAGGTGCTCATCCTGACGTCCGACAAGGCTGAGGAGCTGGCCCGTGAGATCGAGAGTGGCCCCGACGGCTACGGCACTGCCACGTCATTTGAGGCCGTGGCGGCCCTCTTCTGGAAGTCCATGACCGAGGCTCGAGAGCTTATTGATGTCGACACCACCAAATTCGCTTACACCATGTCACTGCGCGGGGGCAAAAGGTGGCAGCCAACCCTCCCGATGGGCTTCTTTGGCAACGCTGTACACGCACCGTCACTGCCGGCCAATGCAGGCCACATTCGAGCCAGGCACATGTCATACGCAGCACGGCTTATCCACAGGATATACTGGGCATGTCAACAGAGACGGTGAAGTCGTGCGTTGACTGGATGGAGATTGAGCAGCGCAAGGGGATGGGTGTGACATATAACCTCGACACGTATGGTGGGAAGGACGTGAATTGCACCAGCCTTCACATCTTCCCGGTGTACGACATTGACTTTGGGTGGGGGAGGCCAGCCTACTTCTCGTTTTGCATCAATGCCATGTTTGGAGATCTGGTGTTTATTCTCCCCTCTGTGCTGGGCGGCAAGAACCGGGAGATTTACGTGCAAATGCGTAGGGAGCACATGAGCAAGCTTTTAAGTTCTAGTGATCTGCTCAGGTTTGTCACGCCCACCACCAAGAAAGCACTCCTTAATCGCTAGGAAATACTATCAATACCCTTGTTCTTATAAGAAATCAGATCAAGTGATTGTTTGATCCTAACTGACCATGTGAGACACAAAATTTCTCGTGGAGGTAATTTTCTTTTTCTTTTATTTCGATACCCAGAACAGCATGTTTCGAAAGTACACTCATTTCGAAGAATAGCTCTACTCTTCCTTTGTCTTTGTGGAGTACAAGGAGTTTGGCCTGACTAAATTAATATCGTGGATTACAAATAAATTATAATAACCATAATAATCTTATACTTATCTTAGCTTATATTTATCTAAAATTAGTGTTTAAGGTTAGTGTTAGTGTACAGTAGTGCTTAAAACTGATATAAATCCTGTTTACACCAAACCCTGTTTAACAATAAGAAACTAATAAATAAATAATATGGGAGTAATATTTTAAATAGAAAAAATGTAAAGGGAATCTACTCAATATGAAATTTTTTTATAGAATCAACCTGTAAGAAATAATAAATGATATTTAGATAACATTTTCTCTTATATATGTTATTATTGAGATCTTTTGTTTCCTTGAAAAAATTTATAAAACCAAAACTGAACCACTGTAAAATAAAATGTAAAAATATAAAAAGTAATTCCTTTTTATTTTCTTGTATGATAATAGAAACCTTTTAGATTCTGACTATTGGGGCTAAGGGCTGGGTGATCCTGCTGCTAATAAGATGACCCATAGATAAGACCCATAGATAAGCTTGCTAATTACACTTAGACAACTACAAATGACCCAATACAAAAGAGGTGTTATGAAGGAGGCCCTTTACAACAGCACGATTGCCCAGCCTCTCATGATGTTTTTGTGGCACTCAAAGGAGTATAGAAGTGAAACCTCTTGCCACAAGCCTGAAGTGTTGCACTTCTCCTGTTGGTCCAGCTTTCACTCAGAAACGAAGCTTTGTCAAAACAACATTAGCATTGTCATGAACAAATTCAGGAATGTATCAAGGCTCATTTTTTTCATAAGCTCACATCTCATCAATTACAGCTTGATCCCATGCTGCAGTAGCATAAGGAGATTTCTTAGCTTAAGGAAGCATAATGGTCATTTGGCTGAGATGATAAGAGGCTCTAGCAGTTGCTCATGCTCACCTCTCAACTTGCTCTCATCGATAAGCTTCAGGACAATATTGATCATGAGTATGCACAGGTTCAAGAACCTTGTGCTCAAGCTCAGAAAAGCTGTGCTCAAAAACTTCGTCCTGATCTGGCTCAGGAACCTGGTCAGGATCAGACTCAAAAACTTTTTCATGATCAAGACCTCAGAATTAGTAGATATTGGCTGAAGAGCTTGTGTCACATTGGCAGCAACAAATGACTCAACTTTTGATCATGAGTTATTTTTGGAGTGTATGACTCACAAATAATAGCTTGTTAATGGTTGAAGGTGTAGGCATGATTCAAGTGCAACTATCAATAATTCTAGTCAAGCATTAAAGCTCAACATATCCTTGGATAAATGATAAAGTAAGGATTCAACTTGGAGTTTCATGGTGATTGTGTCAAGATCACACATCCAGAGGTTAGATATGTGGCTTTTGCAAGCAAGATAGGATGGTTGTTCTGGATGGATTGTAAAGTTTGTGTCCCAAAAAAGTTACTACCTATGACAGTCATTTATCTTCAAAGCAAGCTATAGATGTACAAACCACGTGAATTTCAAGACAATTCAGTAGTTGTAGCAAGAGGAAAAATGAAGTTTTAGGAGGAGGGCTCTCTTTACAGTGTTCACTCTCTATAGTGTCCATGTGAATGTGGAGAAGAATTCCACTCACTATTAGACTGAGATCATGGGAGCAAAAGGATGTAGACATGATTTTACATTTGTTGAGCAGCAGCCTAATGAGTGAGTACAAGGTTGGGCTGCTAGATCCAAATGGCAATATCATAGATCAAGCTGTCCTTGCAACTTATGTCATAAAGTCTCATCATCGATACATCAAGAAAATTCCTGACAGCACCCAATGGCAGGTTTTTCCTAAGCTCATGCAACACAAAGAGATTGTTGTAGGCAAAGGCAAGGCTGCTGAGTAGAAGGATTGCCATGATGACTCATGGCAATTGACAAGCACAAGAAGGGTACTCTTCTGTTTTTAATCAACTTAGAAATAAGCACTCCACTAGCACAGAGGAAAAACTAGGAACCAAGTGAGAAATAGGGTAAGTGTGGGACGTGTTGATTGTACCATGAAGAAGTAATGTCAAGAGGTCAAGTTGAAAGTTGAGCATGGATCTTCCTTTAGTGCAATACCACATTTTAAAAGACAATGGTGAAATGAAGACACTTCCATTGTAGCCAACAACTTGTCATGGATAACTTGAGGAGCAGACTTGGACACCACTAGCCATATTCTTTGGCTGGATGGTCAAAGCTCTCTCTGCAGCTGGAGCATAGGCACAGCCAAGCCAAGCTGAGGAAGAGGATCATCATCATCCCATGGACTAAAAGACTCAAGTTGAAATCTTACCTTGCTTTCTCCATGAAGAAAATTTACAGAAAGAACTGCTGGATCATGGTGACACTGGGAATAAACTCAACACTCATCAAAGATCATGTCTCAGCTCAAAAACTCTTTATTTGAGTCTATGTAAAGGAGTCAATATCCCCAATGCTCATCACTATAGCCTAGAAATATACACTTCACATCCAGCTTCCATCTTAAAATATCCATGCATAAATACCATCATGTCTAAACCTCATAAGGTGTTTTGCCTTGAACAGCCATTGTCAACACCCTATTGAGCTAGCATGATCCCAAAACCTGGGAGGAAGACTAGCATTGGCTATCGTCATCCTATCCAACTCCACCACTTTCTTATTGAATTGCTTAATTACCCCATTAAGCTTAGGAGTGTATGGAATTGTGAATTGCCACTGAATTTGTAAGTAGCAAAATTAAAGGACATACTTTATGCTTATAAGCTTTAAATGTTGGCAGAGCTTCACCTCTCCATTAGAGTGGAGCACTTTGATATGTAAATCAAGTTTTAGTAGCTATGACCACATAACTTGTAGTGTTGTTTATGAATCTAATAAAATACTTCTTTCTATGCTGGTCATGATTTCAACTGGACCACACAAGTCCAAGTGCCTCAACTAGAGAGGATTTGTCATAAGAATGCCCCCACCAGAGTTGAATGTGTGGCAATACTGCTTGCTTGATTTGCAGGCTAAGCCATCAATCACATGTTGTATTGATTGATGCTGTCATTCTTCGATTGGCACTTTCTCATTCTAGATACCACGGGCCAAAATCCCTATCTCATGAACTAGAACTATGGATTTCTAAGCAAAAAAATTTGTCCTATAGAATTACTCCATTTCTCTAGAGAATGAATGTGATGCCATCCTGTCCTAATGTCTAAGGCACTATTTGTGCCAAAAAAGTCCTAAGCTATATCTCTAATATCATGTGAAGAGAATTATGAAGAAAGAAAAAACACTCCCTACTATATGCCACATGGTTTTAATAAACCATTTGTAATAATGCTTGCTGAAAGAAGAGGGGAGAAGAAATTGTAAGATCATTTTGAGTGAGAAACAAACGTACTGTAAACCATTATCTGGAAATCTACTTTAACATTTGTTAAGCATATTTTCTTACTTTGTAGCCAAGGACAAAATTATGGAGAGGTACTTAGTGTCAGTTTATTCCCAGAATTAAAAGAGTGATTAAATTTATTTCCTAAAGAAAGGAAAATAAAAATACAAATAAAATATCTAAGATTAAGACATACATTACTTTTAGTTTTGATTACTAACCACTGAAAAAGAAACCACAAGGGATCAGGGCATCACATACAACGATCCAAATACGTTATCTTCAAAGTTGCAGGACTTCAATGTGATCTTGGACAGCAGACATTTCAACAACATAAATACGGCAACACATCACAACCTGTAGTTATCCTGTATTTCTATGACGTGTAAAACCACTCTTGTATCTTTCGCTTTACAACGCATACATACAGCCAGGAGGCTGTCACAATAACGTCTTAGCTCTGCCTAAACTGATCAAACTGATCATGCGTGTTTGACAAAATGCAAGGCCAGATCAACCAGCAATATAAAAGGCAGAGGCGAGGGATCTCCTCCTTCGTGATAGATCTCTCGAGTCGCGTCGGCTGGAGGAGCCGATGGATCCAAGGCCTCTAGCTGTGCTGTTTCTGGTCCTGTGGCTTTGCATTTGCAGCAATGCAGATTCCTCCCAGGACATGCAAGATGTGCTGAGCAGATACAGCTTTCCAAAGGGATTTGTGTTTGGCGCCGCATCAGCTTCTTATCAGGTGGCGAGAGATCGGCACTCCGCTCCATACTAACGCCGCTGCGCTGGCCTGATCCAGGTTGAAGGCGCAACCAAGGAAGATGGAAGGAAGCCCAGCAACTGGGACGTTTATTCACAGATCCCTGGTACAATCTGCCAAATTCCTCGCGGGAAAAGTCACAGTTGTTTTCTTGGTGCAGGCAAGATCGCAGATGGCAGCACAGCAGATCCCGCGATTGATCAGTATCATCGCTACAAGGTTGAGTTTTCGCTTGATTCACTGCTCTTCATCTTATCGCTTGAATCCATCGACCTGAAAGTCGGAGAATGCTTGCAGGAGGACTTCTCGATACTGGATGGCCTTGGCGCGGATGCGTACAGGCTGTCGATTGATTGGCCTCGCATGCTTCCCGGTATGAGATTGTTTTGATGTCTAGCTAGCTCGAGATGAGCTACCACGTTTTCCTTGCTTGTGCTGCAGATGGCACTGGCAGTGTTAATCCAAAGGCAATCAGTCATTACAACGATGTCATCGATACACTCCTTGCCAAAGGTTTGCATGGCACGATCGCTTGCACGTATTTTGAAGTGCTTGCCTCGCGGATCCAGGCTTGAAGCCATACGTGACGCTCTTCCACTGGGACATCCCCTATGCTCTGGAGAAATCCTATGGAGGATTCTTGAGCTCCAAGATTGTGTAAGTTAGTAAATCCAACCATGAGCTCTTGCAAAACATACCATGACACGCCAGGGACGACTTTGGAGTTTTCGTGGAGGCTTGCTTCAAAGCATTCGGGGACAGAGTGAAGAACTGGATCACGCTCAACGAGCCCCACATTTTCGCAGTCATTGGCTACAACATTGGCGTGTTTGCGCCGGGAAGATGCTCGCCCGAGATCGGAAACTGCACGGGAGGAGACTCGTCCATGGAGCCATACGTCGTAGGCCACCATTTACTCCTCGCCCATGCGAAAGCGATCGAGATCTACACCAAAAGATACAAGGTACACCAGAAAAATTAAAAAGTCTTAAAAGATTACCTCAACTTGACGAAAACAATCGCAGGCTAGTCAGAAAGGGACGATCGGTCTCACGCTCGACACATTGTGGTACGAACCTGTTTCAAACTCCAAGCAAGACAAAGCTGCCGCCGAAAGAGCTCGGCAGTTCAATCTCGGATGGTAAGAACCCTGATCTCTATAAACTTACGAAAAAACTTTACTCTGTTCGCGTCCAGGATGCTCCATCCCGTCACGTATGGGGAGTATCCACCAGCGTTGGTCGCAAACGTTGGAAGCAGGCTCCCAAAATTCACAGCCGAGGAGAAGAAATGGCTCCAAGGCACCTCTGATTTCATTGGCATCAATCACTACTTCAGCCTCTACGTGAAAGACAATCCAAACCGTACCTTTGTCCAGGGAAACCTCCTCAATCAGCGCCAAGCCATCTACCACCCGGCTTACTACAAGGACGTCGACTTTGCGTTCCTAGGTGGGCCTAGAAATGGATTCCTCTCATTCCAGCTCTCTCGTTCGTCTTCTCGCAGACAAGAAGAAGGGCGTGTTGATCGGGAGGAATATCAATGGCTTCTACGTCGTACCGTACGGGATCAGGAGGCTGATGAATTACATCAAGGATAAGTACCGCAATCCAATAATCTATATCACTGAAAATGGTACGTACCTGGCGAGCTGATGCAGTAGAAGCAAGCTTGTTTCTCTTTATTCACAGGGATCAGTGATACTACCAACAGTTCCAGTCCGTTGGCCCAACAGCTGGATGATCAGCCCAGGATTAACTATTACAAGACGTACCTGTCAAATCTTGCAGCATCAATAAGGTGAGACTCTGAACTAAAAAGATCCGAAGCTTACCTTCCAGCTTTTTGTTGGCAGAGATGGCTGTAGAGTCCAAGCTTACTTCCTGTGGAGTTTTCTGGACAGCTGGGAATGGGGCTCGGGTTATAATGTGCGCTTTGGGATCATCCATGTTGAGCTAGATAACAGCCTGAAGCGGATCCCAAAGAAATCAGCAAAGTGGTACGCAAAGTTTCTGAAAAAGAAGCACTGAGGAGGCAGCTGACAAGATGCAAAATAATTCACGATTTCATGAACAATAAGTCCCTCCACAAAATAATTCTTAATAACCATAGTATTGGCGTATAGATAAGCTCAGAGCTACAATCCACCATTGTGTACTGCAAAACCAAAGTTTAAGTCCAGGAGGAATGATATTCGTCAGCACATTGCTGCTTTTGCTCTTCACTGTACCTTAATACAGCTCAGATCTGGTCCCCCGGACAAGCAATGAAAAAACGAGTGAATTTCCCGTCATGCCACAACGCACTGGCGCTTAAGCCACGCACTCACAGAGCGCAGTACTCTCAGCTCTCCTCCAAGGATAGCCTCAGCCATTTCTACGCAGAGTAAAGTGGTGCTTTCTGCCGGTGCTTGCGACCTGCAGTTCTGCAAGGCCTGAAAGGAAGCACTAAAAGTCAGTTACACTGCAAAACAATAAGAGCACCAGACCAGGATAGCCTCAAAATGCTGCTGAATTCGAGTCTCCACGCAAGTTAATATTAGCGCAAGAGCGTCAGTTTCCTTGAGTTCATCTTGTTTCTTATCACAGCTGAGTAGAGCTGCAGACACATTAACAGATTCAGGACGAGTGTTGTGACAACAGCTTGAGTACCTTCGCTTGACGTAGCACATACTACCCGTGCCATTGTAAAAAGAGGCCCAGGGAGTTCCCTTCCATTACCTGCCGAGTCACAAACTTCCCTGTAGCAGTCTCAACTCAGGACAAGTTAAAAGTTGAAAGCCTTACCTCAATGTGAAGCTCATGCCACCACTATCAGAGCCATCAGGGTTCGTCAATGTCAGCATCTCATGAGAATGCAGGTACTGCAATTTTTCTTTCCGAAGGCTGTCCCTTCGAGAGATGCCAAGCCATAGTTGTACCTGTTTACGAGCCAAAATAAGTGAGGCTGTAAACTCAACAACGCTAACCTTGTCCCACGGATTGTATGGTACAGTAAATCCAAAGTCCAGTGCAAGGGATGCGTTGCATAATGGTCCAAAACTTATGGTTACCTGACCAACTCTTCAATCAGCTTTAGAAAGGAAAGCCAGCCGATACTTACTTGCTCACCGGCAGCATAGTTTTTATCTGCGAAGAGCTGAGCACAAAACAAGGCGATGTAGAGACAGTCGGAATAAACTTTCACTTCTTCTACCTCGGTAGAGCCATTATCAGTGTCATATGTAAGCATCGCGTTCGAGCTCCAGTCGTGATTCATAAAATCAGCAAAGGGAACCTGTAAGAGCATAGACTCAGACAAGTTAAATACAAAGGCCAAGGTGTTACCATTGCTAGCTTCTCAAGGCCATCAATGCGCCATGCGCGCGAGCACACTGTAGCTTGATTAGGAACACGGGAAAATGACATGATATAGGATATATTTCACCTGTTACATAAGCATGCTTGAAACTTGCATACGACACAGTACCTCCAAATACATGCTCATACCGTTGAAAGATCTACAGTACCTGCAGTCACATATGTAAGCTACTTGCAGGAAAATCAGACTAACCGACTGCATTTCATTGAACTCCTCTCTGATTGCTGCTCTTCTGCTCATAGTTTCATAGCTCAAAGAACTCTCCTGTATCATTGTGAGCTCTTCTTTTCTCCAAAACGCCTGCACCGCAAAATCTGAGAAACCGAGAATTAATAGTGGGAACTCACCGTGCTGTGGATCGTGCCCCACCTTGGCAAGCAAGAAATGTAAGGAGCCCATATGGAAGCCTGGAAAGGACACTAGTCAGTCAAAAAAGTTCACATAGATTTGATCTACCTCTCCTGCTCGTTTCTCGAAAAGAAGCAAAAGAGCTAACTGCGCCCATTCACTCACTCCACTTGAAAGCAGCTGCTGGAATTCCAGAGGCAATCTATCTGCAGTCATCATCTGGGAACGAAAACGCTGTTGCTCACAAAATTAAAGAAACACACGAGCATCATACCGTGTCGCGAGAAACTCTGAGAATGCACTCGCCAGCCTTGATATCTCGCACGGCAAACAATCCCCTGGGCCAAGAGAAGGCTAAGTACTAAACAAACCAATCTCAAGCTATACCTTTTATCAGGGCCTGTCTTGAGCAACGAGCATGCGTCGTGCTCACCGCGTATCTTAAGCCACGAGACGAGCTCTAGCTCCTTGTCATCGAAATTCTGGCAAGAAAACTCTCAAAGCCCACGAAATATTTTGCCTGGTTACAAACCTCGGGAGAAGAATCAGCGCCGACACCGATCTCGCTCACGAGCCGCTGGTGCCGCCGTCTCCTCGTCCACGGCAATGCCATCATCCCTTTCATCCTCGCTTGCAAATCTTGTGGGGCGCGGCAGCGGCAGCAATCGATCGAACCAAGAAGAAACCAAAAAAGCCAAATCTTTCAACACCCCCGTTCCATTGAATGAGAGCTCAAGGTAGAAGAAGAGAATGAGAATGCACGAGGGCGCCATCACTGCCGCACCACCAGATTGGAGCAGCTCCTGGCGCTCATCAATGCGGCCAGTTCCCTCTCGCAATCGCCGCGCCGGCAACAAAGGACACCAGAGAGAGGAAGGAAGGAAGAATACAAAAAGAAACCCTGCCCCCATCGCCAGCGCTCGCTTGCCCTTCTTTATCATCGCCATACTACTGCATTGAATGCCGACGTGACCTAGTTAGTCCATCCCAGGGACTCGAACCAAGCACCACAAATTCGCGCTCAACGAATATACGTTATTTTAAAAAGGAATCTTTTGAAAGCTTCCCGGCGTGAGCTTGGATTTTGGCCATTATCGCGGACGCTGCTCCCGCCGCTTTGGATGATCTTCCTCTTTCCACCAAGAACTCGTACGCTGTTCTTCCCACTTCCGGATCACTCCACTTCTCGGCGGCGTCGAGGAGCGCCATCCAGACCACAGCACCTGGATCATACGGCATGCTCCTCGCGATTTCCACTGCGTCCTGGAGCTGCCCCACCCGGCCCAAGAGATCCACCACGCAGTTGTAGTGCTCGATCGAGGGAGTGATGCCATACACCGCTTGCATGGAGACGAAGTACTCCTTGGCTCTGGAAGCGAGTCCTGCCGCGGCACACGACGTTAGAAGCGAGAGGAAAGTGATACCGTCGGGTTGGAGCTTGTCTTCCACTTGCATACGCTCGAACAGCTCAAACACGAGCAGCGCGTCGCCCCTGGAGCTGTATCCCGCGATCAAGCAGCTCCAAGTCACCACATCCTTCCTGGGAACCGAGCTGAACACCCGCTCGGCTTCGCCCATCGCACCGCTCTTCCCGTAGAGATCGACGAGAGAGTTCGCCACCATCAGCTCGCACTCCAAACCCGCGTTGCAAATCTCGGCTTCGATCTGTTTCCCGACTTCCAGAGCTGCCAGCGTCGCACAGGCCTTCAGTGCCGCGACGAACGTTACGGCGTCTGGTGGTGGAGACGATGACGAGCTTTGCTGCCGCTGCATGCGTCGATAGAGCTCGAGAGCTAACTCGGCCTCGCCATTGTGGACGCACCCCATGAGAATGCAGTTCCAGGACACTGCGCTGCGCTTCTTCATGGCTTCAAAGACATGCCGAGCGTCCCAGATGCTTCCACACTTGGCGTACATGTCGATCAGGGTGTTCGCCACCACGAGATCCACAAGCCCGGCTCCAGCAGCCTGAGAATGAATGGCCCTTCCCCGTTCCAGTGCCACGGACTTAACGAGCCTTCCTCCAACAAGCTTTGCTTCTTCTGTCTCTGCCAAGCTAGCACACGCCTTGAGAGCAGCTACGAACGCGAGAGCATCGGGAGCGCATCTCTCGTCCCACATCCTGGCAAATAGCCTCAAAGCCGTGTCGGGCTCTCCATTTTGTACGTATCCCAGCATCATGGCAGTCCAAGAAACCATACTTCGAGTCTGGAGCTCCTCGAAAATTTTTCTAGCCTCCACCATGCTCCCGCACTTCGCAAACACGTCAACGAAACTTGTGCCTAGCGCGAGACCCAGACTGCCCACGTTTCGAAGTGCCTGAAAGTGGATCAATCTTCCTCTATCCAAGCTTGTCACCTTCAAGATTTTCCCTTCCACCAGCTTGCCTTCTTCTTTGTCAGCCATGCTAGAACAAGCCTTGAGAGCAGCCAGAAATGTGACATCGCTCGGCTGGTACCCCTGTTCCTGCATACGTGCGAAGAACTCCAGCGCTATCCTGCCTTCCCCGCCTAAAGCATAGCCAAGAATGATGCAGTTCCACGAGACCACATTTCGCTTCGGCATGCTCTCGAACTGCCTGCGAGCGTCCTCCAAGCTCCCACACTTGGCGAACAAGTCAATCAAACTGTTCCCTACAGCAGTATCCATCTGATCTCCGCCTTGACAAGCTTGAGAGTAAAGACGGCTGGCCGTTGCCAGGCACTTGAGCCTCACCACTTTCTGATCTAGGAGCTGTCCCTTTTCTTTCTTTGCAAATGCTGCACAGGCCTTGAGTGCAGCCAAGAGTGTCACACGGTCCGGTTCACAGCCTTCGTTCTGCATGCGGTCGTATAGTTCCAACGCTAGCTCGGGTCGACCAATCTGAGTATATCCCACTATCATTGCTGTCCAGGATACTGCACTGCGCTGGTTCATGCCTTCGAAAAGACTGCGAGCAGTATCGAGACTGCCACTTTTCACATACATGTCGAGGAGTGTGTTCGCTACGAAGACGTTGGAGATGTCACCGCTAGCAACCGCATCCCTGTGAATCCTTTTGCTGAACTCAAGATCCTTTAGCTTTCTGCACGACTTCAATGCGGTGAGTAGAAAAGTGACCTCCAGCTTTTCCCCTTCCACTTGCAATTTAGAGTACCTGGTAAGAACTTCTCCGTCAAGAGGCGCCGCATTTGTCGTCCTTTTTGGAAGGCAGCTTGCTACAAAACGAAGCTCAGTCATCTACAAGAGAATACCCTAGCACGAGAGCGTCTTATGATGATTAATCTTTCCATCACTGAAGCATCACTAGCCTTCATTTTGGGAGTTTATCCCACTTCCGCTCCAAGCTCTTACAGTTTTTCAAATCTAAAAGAAAACATTAGATTACTAAGCTACAGAAGAGAAACTGGCTACCTCGGAAAAAATGACAACTCTACAGCTTGCTTCCAGGATTCTTCACCTGATAGGACACGAAAATCATTGTAGTCAGACCAGAAAGCCAGTTTGGCGAAGGTAAGTGAGATTACATCCCGGAATGCGATTCGAAGCAATGTGCTTCACAAATGATGGAAGAGAGGAAACAAAAAAGGAGGGCCTCTTCCCACCCCACCTAAACCTGATTACGCATGCATAACAACCTTTGAAGGGCCGTATACCCTCAAGCAGCGGTTTTCAAACGCAGCAACAAGTCGAGCGACGACTTCGTCAAAAAATACGTTCGCTACCTGGCAATAGGATCGACTCAGCTCTTTCGTGTTCAAGAAAAGCTAAATGAAGCAACAGACCTTCGTGTACAAAGGAGACCTGAACTGAAAGTCGACCGTAAAGTGGAGGTTGCATGTTGCGGGAGAAGGTCCAGGACTTATTTCCCATGTGTTGTTCAGGTACTCGAAAATTGCACTCTTCGAGACCGATGTCTACGTCCATAAACGTCTGGTTAGTTACTAAACATGCCCAAGAGACGCGCATACCTTGATGAGTTTGGGCCGTGTGAGCTGAACATGCGAGGTGTAGCTCTCGACAAAGAACTGAAATCCTATTTCAAGCTCTGCTTCAAGTTCGCCGCCTTTCTGCCAGATCACGTTGGACCGTTGGCACCAAGGCACAAATTCCTCATACATATCAACACCTGCGACCACGTCGAACAGCTGCTCTGGCGCATACCTGCGGACAAATACTTAGAACCCAAGCGCGAGAAAAACCGAACAGGAAAAATGTACCCCATGACTCGCTTCTCTTCGTAGTGCTTGGAAAGCCCCCTGTCTTCATCTCCATCACCAAAACCCAGAAACCCTCGTCTCTGCTGCTGCCTAGCATCACTGACATCGCCGATCGGGGCCCCTAGCAAGCCCCCAACAAGCCTGGACAATCCAGTCTCAGGCCGGAAAAAATTCGCCCGATCGACCAAACACCGAGCGGGCGAGACAATGCGAGAGGCAAAGCATCGCCGCTGCTGCCCTATCAATTTCCTCAGTGCCAATCTATGCAAACCTCCCGGAAGACGCATCGCTCGCCGACACCAATGAAGGATCCCTGGCCCTAACCTCAAATATATAAGGGTCAGAAAAAGGAGAAGAAAAAGGCGTTAAAGAACTAAAACATACCCGTGTTATGTCTTGTGTTTGGCATCTGGAAGGTTTGAGACCGTTGATTTCCTGTCCTTGGCGTGCCATGGAGAGTTCCATGCGAAGTGGAGAGAAAGGATCAAGATTGGAGAGCTAGAAAGGAACGGAGAAGTTTCACAAGAAAAAATATTTGGTCAAAGATCAAATGGAACTACAACACGCAAAAGAGAAATTAGAGACGCGTTCCTGGAATGTGAGAGCTGTGAGCCAAGAACGCTAGAGGAATCGGACGAAAATCTCACCTGGTAGCGGTCACGTCATTCCTCAAGATCGTTGTTCTTCGGAAGCGGCGGGGGAATGTAGGCTCCTCCGCCGTCGGCCTGGATCGAAACCGCTCTCGCGCTGGAATTTCTTGCGCTCTGTCAGACCCTGCGATCAGAAACGAAGCGAAATATCGATTGCGACTAACCGTGCCCGATAATCGCATTCTCGTGCGCCTAGGACCCTGCGATGACGCTTCCACGTCTGAATCCCTCAAGAGCGAGTCCCGGCGCCGGTTCTTGGCGCCGCAGGACGAGACCTCGGCGAAGGATTCGACGGCCGATGAGATGCTGGAGGCGCTGGCGCAGGAATCCTCGGTTGTAGAAGCCGATCGCGCGCTCGAATTCGCCGTCGCCAGAGCTGCCCCGCCAAAGCATCGCGAGCAGCTCATGGTGGAGTTGAGTGACCTAAACCCTAAATTCGAATTTGGGCGGCAATTCTAATTACCTTTACCAAGGTTTAAAGTAAATATTTGACTGGCACTGCGCTGTCATTGGACATTAAGATACTTGTCTTTTCTACACACGCCAAGAAAGCCTTGGTACCTATGGCCTTTATACACACCATTGTCATCGTCCCTGTAAAGAAAAGATAAAGAACGAAAACAGGCAAACACGATGATTTGATACTTGTATTGCGCACGCCCGGAGAGAATCTCCCGGGTAAGCGCTTGATCGACAGGGCCGGATGGAGACGAAGATCTAGGTCGACCATGGCGGCGATGCGCTTGAGGAATGCGCTGCGATTGAGATGATGTGTAATATCGGGAATGCCGCCGCCGCCGCCGAGCGCGAGGGTCAAGCAATCGAAGCTCAAGGAGCACCGGCGATGGAGCAGCTGGTTTATCTTCTGGGGAATCGCGCTCGGCTGCTGGATTTGGTACCATTCGGCCAAGATTCCGGCGTGGTTACACCAGGGATCGCTCTACGGCCAGATCGTCCATCGCCAGAGGCTCTTTCTCGAGGAAACAGGGGATTTTCGCCAGGGAATGGCCATCACCGACACAATAGAAGAAATGGATCACGGGCTTCGCTCTGAGGATGGACAGGCTCTAGAACAGGGAGATAGCAACAGATATTCTCTGGAGGATCAAGAGGAGAGAGAAGAATGGAATTTTCCAGAGGAGGACCAGCCCAAAAATTCCAGGACTTGCGCTACGGTGGAGGAAATGGGTGCGATGGCTACTGCGAGGAGCACCAGACTTGTCGATCTAAATCTGAGAGGAATGATCGAGGAGTATTTTGCCGAGCATGGTATGGAATTTATTTGCTTGTGTTCTTCTTCTTTTGCTTAAGAACTTTTCCTGGCGAAATCTTAAAGTATGTAGATGCTTGCAGGCGCTCGTCGCGTGAGAGCTTTGGCAGGGGAGGACTTTTGCAAGAGGAACTTTATCTTTGGAAGAGCTAAAGAGGACGGCTTTGGTAATGAAATGTACAAGATCTTGACTGCCGCTGGACTAGCTCTGATGCTAAACCGATCGCTCATCGTCGGGGAGGACAGGTGCTTCAAACCATTTTTCTTCTGTGGATGCTTGATCTATTTCATCTCTGGCAGCTCCCAGAACCCGGGATATCTAGGACTAAACGAGAGGACACACCATCCATTTGGCGATTACATTTCGTTCTCTCGCGAAACTTTCACTATGAGAGAACTGAAACACTTGTGGGTGATTCACGAATGTGCTACGAAGTATAAACGGCCTCTCAAGCTGAGAATGGATTTAATCCAAAGGCCGTCAGGAACAAACTCTCTGTGCGGAGATTGGAGCGAATGGTCACAGCCAATTATCTGGTAACTATTTGGTTCTTATGGCAGCATTTAACGTGATCCCCTGTCCAGGTTTTATGGTGCTCAAGACGCTGTCGCTCTACAGATTTTCCTCAAGAACATCAACTTCAAAATGAAAACCGCTGCGACAAAGATCCTGGGAGACTCATTTGCACCTTCCACGCGTGGGAATCTCTACGGAGAGCTCATGCGCGCATTTATCTCACCAAAGCCGGATATTGTTGACGCAGTTCGGTGGGCTCTTGGCGGCGGGCGAGATCCCGACTTAGCTCTTCACTTGCGAATGCTACACAGCAGGTTCTAGCTTTTGAATTTGTTTCCATTCTTTTTGTTTCTGATCACGACCATTTTTCAGGTCCAGACGTGCTGTTGAAACAGCTTGTATTTGCCTGAAAAGATTGATAAACCAGCTCAACTTAGACAGACTTCCTCGAATAGCGATCGTGACAGACACTCCTGCCGTTGTCGACTACATGAGGACGAACTTGGAAGCATTCGCTGAGGTATTTTAGAACAGTTTCTCAAATCTTTGATAATGATCTCGAGCATCGTTTTCTTGGACCAGGTCATACATTTCGATTATAGACTATACCTGGCCTCGTCACCAAACGTGAGCGACGTCATGAAAGAGAACTACTTCCAGGTAGAGCGCTTGAATGCGTTTCGAAATGTTTGTCACTCGCTAAAGCGTGTGAAAATGTGAACAGCCTCCAAAAAAGCGAGTCGACGACTGGGGTCCGTTACCTCGCTGGGTGGCACTCGTCGATTTCTTTTTGGCATCAAGAGCAAAGTATGGAGTAGTCTCGGGGGGATCCAAACGAGTTGCCACCACTTACGCTCAATTGCTCGCATCATTAGCGGCCGCAAATACCCTTGGTATGATGATCGAGATTCTCCATTTCGTGGTCCACTCACTGATTCTTTTCCAGTTCCAGGCGACGAGCACGGGAAAAAAGAAGAGGATTTCATGTTCTACAGCAGCTTCCATCCGGCTCTAGTGACTCGCGGCCTTTCTTCGCAGCGAGGATGGGGCCACGCTTGGAGAACTTTCAGTGGAAGGCTAAGCTGCGCGAACCAAACCACGCAATGTGCTCTAACTCCGCTACTCCCTCACGCTTGGTGGGACGGGCCATGGCAGCTCCCAACTTCTCGCGACGCCAGGATCATGCGAAGCTATGGCATCGAATTCAACAGCTCGGGCAATGTCGTGGAAGAAAAACTCGCAAAGTTTTGCCGCTCGCGGAAGCGCCCGGCGACGAGCATCACCAAGCTGGAGCTCCCGCCGTGTAAGAAACTAAACTTTAAACGAGAATCGTGCTGAGGATATCCGTTCTAGGCATATTCGCCCCTTTTGAACGTGTCAAACGTGGCCTGTCCAACGGCCGTGAGACCGCCACGTCAGCGACAATCGCGGCCGTTGCGCGAGCGAATGTAAGGCCGGGATGGTGTTAGGGCTCGCAGGCTGTGCTTGAGCGGCGGCTATGATCCTTTGAGAGCGGTTCGTGGCAGCGTCGCAATCCTTTCCGCGCTTTCAAGGTACTCATCGATCGCCAGCAAATGGCACACAAATCTCTTGTGGGCGCTGCCCGATCCCCCAATTTGACTCGGATCACGCCTTTGGTCACTGATCATCTTTTCCTTTGTTGTTCTTGGCGCAGCGAAACTCGTGTGGGGTGGGCGCTTGGCTCCATTGGATGATCACATCATTTATGCAGAGTGATTCGGCGAAGCAAGCGGGCTCATCCTGGAGCCAAAGCTTGCGGCTTGACAGCACCTTGGCAAAGAAGTTTTACCGCGTTGGCATCCAATTCTATCGAACTGGGCTCCCAGGCTCCGACTCGTGCGTTCTCGGCATTGATCCTTTCGTAGCGAGGATTTAGATGAGAGTCTTCTGTGCCGGAAGAGCTCTCCACGTACTTCTGGCGGCACTTATGGGCTGAAAGAACATTTTGACACCGATCCTGCTGGTTTCCACAGCGAGCAAGATCATCATCTCCTCTCCAAGATTGCTACTTCTACGAAGATTTCTTTTCGTTGCTGCTGCTTCTTCGCGAATGGCTCCTCACGCGATGGAAGTGGTGGCTTCCAGCAGCTCCTCACTCGGTTCTAAAGGACGAACTTCTCCAAAGTCCAAGGCTATGGTGGTGGTGCCCGGGAGAAAGGTGCCGGTGGTGGCGGAGAAGGATAAGAACGCTTCGAGTCGAGCTTATGTTCCGGATGAGAATCTCTCCGCCAAGAGGCCTCCGGGGAAGACTCCATTGGCTGCGCTGCTGAGCAAGAGCCAGGTATGTTGGAAGTCCTTTTGCTTTCGTTTCTTCCATCGTTTTTCTTGAGCTGTTCTTGCGTCTTGCAGGGAAAAGGTGATGCAAATCTTATGCTAGTCACTGTGACTGTCCTGGGAAGCCCCGGTCCTCTACGTTTTCTCGTGGACAAAGCTGACACCGTCGGACGTGTTGTGGACACGGCTCTTCGTGTGTATGCTCGCGAGGGAAGGCTTCCTCTACTTAGCAAGCAGCTTGTGGAGCTCTACTGCGACAATGGCGACTTCAAAGGTACGTAAGAGATTTTCCCCCGGTGTTGATCGATTCTAAGTTAGTTGTCTCTTGTCTAACAGCTCTCGACTCTAATGAATGCATCGGCGTACTTGGAACTCGGCAGTTCCTCCTCTATCGAAAGAAGGCCGATGAGATCTCCGAGCGACAGACCAGTGTCACGCAGCCGATCTCACATCCGCTCAAGCACTGGTGGAGCTTCATGAGCTCGCTTGTCTGCTCGCACTAGGAGGAAAGTTTCCAAGTTTCGAAGGGAAGTGCTCTCCACTTTCCATTGTTTTCGTGTGTTTGTTTACTTATTCCATCTATAGAAGAAGCGCTTGTTCTTTTCATTCCAGAAAACCTTTGAGTTTGAGGCTTTCGATGCAGTCGTCAAACATCTTCTCCAGCGGCTGATAAGTCTCGAGGCCGAGTTGCTTGAGCTTTTCAGCGCTCATCTCGTGAGGAATGTCTTGGCCTTGGTCCTGGGATGGCCTGCATTGTTGGATCTTGTGGTGAGTGATCGTGAGAAAGGATTCTTACTCGCTTGGAAGAGGATACTGGGGATACTTCGCTCGTAGCATCTCGAGAACTTCTCTCCAGTGAGCCACTCTCTCGGAGCAAATGTATCGGCCAGCCGCGCCGGGGGATTCGTAGGCGAGGAGGTGTGCTGCTACCACGTCCTGGATGTGAACGAAGCCGACGATCATGTTTGGATAGAGCTTGATATGGCCTGGGACGAAGAGGATGATCTTGAGCAAAAAATTGGTTTTTTTTTTCTCTCGACCTTTGAGCATGCCGAGGACGATGAGGATGGTGCTGGTTGGAACCGGCTGTAGAAGCGGTCCAACGATGAAGGATGGATTCACCACGACGAGATTGATCCCATGGAGCTTGCTAAAATCCCAGGCAGTCCTCTCGGCTAGTGTCTTGGCCAGTGGATACCATAGCTGGAGAGAAACAAGAGATTTCGTTAGCTAGAACTAGAACAAACAGGGAAGAAGAAACGATTCGAGACAAAAGAAACTGGTTAGAAACAAACAAGAGATGAAGATGATCATCTCTATCAACTGGATGGATCTGACAAAACAGATCTTTTGGGACCTTGTGTTGGCTGCAGTAGCCCGGATTCGTCCAGGAGCTCTCGTCAAGCGGTGGATCGTTCTTTCCAGTTTGGTGGTGGTGGTCGTAGCGAATCGCCGAGCAGGATGAAGTGAGGACGACCTTGGCGATGGAGGAGAACTTTGTACACGAGCCGAGGACGTTGAGCACGCCATTGGTGGAGGTCTCGACGAGTTTGAGCTAGAAACAAAGAAGAACAAGAGTTTGGTGGAGTGTCCAAAGATTTTGCGAGAGAGACCAAACCTGTGGATCGTCTTTGGGATCGATCAGCACGACGCCAGCGACGTGAATGACGCCGTGCACGCCACTCAGCGCGGCGTCGAAGCTGCCCGGCTCGAGCAAATCGGCCTTGAAGATCCGGAGGCGCTCCTTCGCTCCCGGCAAGTCCCACAGGAAGCCGACCTTGGCGGGATCGTCTTCGCATCGCAAACAAGCAAGCATCGATCGATCCATCGCGTTTGGAAGGAGATCACGAGAAAGAATCATGGTGGTGTTCCTCACCTGGATTGCGCGCAGTGGTGTGGACTGTGTAGCCCCTTTGGAGGAGCTCGCGGACGATCCAGGAGGCAATGTAACCCGTTCCTCCAGTGACGCACACAAGCTTTCCATTGCTGGAAGCCATAGCCATCGTGCAAAGGCGAGAGAAAGAAGAAGAGAGCTTATATGCATGGAATCACGCACATTGCATTGGTAGAAACGTACACTGGCAAATTTCACTCGCTGGAATCGAGCCCTCGTCTAGGGTATAAGTTAAACCTCGATATTTTGATTTTTAGGGCGGGAGTGGAGCTATGGCGTCCACAGGCTTCCACACCGCTGCATTCTTCCACTCTTCCACGGCGATGGCATCGATGAAGCTCTCCGCGGCCATGGCGCCATGGCGGCCACGGCAGGCGCAAGGATTGGTAGGATTTTGCTCTCTTTCGGATGATCTGCAATGGACTCAAGAGGATGGAGACCCGATTGATGAGCTCAGGGTTTGGGAGGAGGAGGAGGATCAAGAGGGCGTAGATGAGAAGCTTTTCACGCGGAATGGAGGTAAGCTTCGGGAGATCTCGCTAGAGGAGATTGAGAAGAGGCTCCGGAATCACTGGAACGGTGGATTGCCTTGGAAGGCATTGCTCGGCAGCTTGGAAAGGGAGAACGCTATAGGGGAGAAGTTTGGGGAGGACACTGTAGAACAGTTTAGGAAGGTTCCAGAGAGAGCGTGGCACTGGCTCTTGCAAGAACTGTGTGTAAGTGGACGCAGTAGCTTTGCTTCCGAGCTCTTGGAATGGCTGCGAGAGAATTCCTTCTGCCGGACTTACGACGTCTTGGACTCGGTGGTCATCCATGGATATGGAAGGGAGAGGAAACTACACAAAGCTCTAGAGGTGGCCGAGAAGCTTGGATCCAATCTTCAGCGACGTGGATACAATGCTCTCGTCGGAGCTTACGCACAGAACAGGGATTATGGAAAAGCTCTAGAGACTTTGAGCAAGATGAAGACTCTCGGCTTTCCTCCGGACGTGGTGAGCTACACGCACGTTATTCAAGCTTGCCGGCATGGTGTTGTGGATATCTACACGGGGTTTAGGCTCTTCCAGGAAATGCAAGCCGAGGGCGTCCAGGTTGACGGAAAAGTCTACAACGATCTCATCTTTGCCTGTGGACAAGCTCACAAGCCCAACGAAGGCATGTTTTTCCTGGAGAAGTTGCAAGCTTCCGGCCTGGTGGCGGACAGGGATAGCTACATATCGCTGATGCTTGCTCTCGGAAAGCACGGGAGGACTGCCGAGGCGGAAGCTCTGCTGGAAGAAATGAAGTGGTATGGCGTGAGGCCGAACCTCAAGGCTTACAACACGCTTCTCGGTGGCTACTCGAGGAAAGGCCAGCTACAACAAATAGACACCGTCAAGACGCTACTCCGAGACACAGGGATGTCGATAAACAAGATAACATACTGCCTGCTCATCGATGCTTACGCTCGCGCGGGCCTTATGGATCGGCTGGAAGCTCTCTATCAGGAGATGCGGGACTGTGATATGCGGCCCAACACCTACATGTACGCGAGGATGATAACGATCTACAGGGACACAGGGCAGTGGCAGAAAGGTGTGAAGCTCCTGCGAGAGATGCAGCAAGCAGGAGTCACACCCGACGCGCACGTCTACAATGTGATCATCAACACCTTCGGCCGGACCAGGCAGCTGGAGCAAGCCCGCATCGCGTTCTTCAAAATGCAAGATGGTGGCATAGAGCCGGACGTGGTGTCCTGGAACTCGCTCATAGACGCCTGCTGCAAGGCGGGGCAGCCTCTAGAAGCGAGAAAACTCTACTACAAGATGGTGAACGATGGCTGCGCTCCCACGGCTCAAACTTTCAACATCGTGATCCACGGCCTGGGAGAGCACAAGCGGTGGAACGACGTGAACGAGATGGTGGAGGAGATGCGCTCCAAGGGGATGTTTCCAAACGTGGTGACTTACACAACCTTGGTGGACGTCTACGCTCAAGCGCGGCTCTTCCAGGACGCAGTGGAGTGTCTCCAGGCGATGAAGGAGGATGGAATGGGGCCATCGCCGACGGCTTACTCGGCTCTGGCGAACGCCTACGCGCAGCTGGGGATGTGTGAGCAGACGCTTCATGTCCTCCAGACGATGGAGAAAGAGAACATCGAGATCAACCTGGCGATGCTCAACTTGCTCATCAACGCCTTCAGCATGGCCGGGAGAAGCCAGGAGGCGTTCGCGGTGTTTGAGTACATCAAGGAGGCTGGATTGACGGCGGACAAGATCACTTACACGACGCTCATGAAGGCTTTGATCCGAGCCGAGAAGCTGGACGAGGTCTCGGGTGTGTTTGACGAGATGATCAAGGCTGGGTGTAGGCCGGATGGGAAAGCTAAAGACATGCTTCGCAGTGCTTTTCGATTCAAAGAACGCGAGTTGTCACCGAAAGATAAGAGCTTCGCGGAGGAGTACTTGGCCAAATGAGAAGAAGAAGAAGAAGCTACTCGCTGGAATCGAACCTCGTCAGGCTTAAACCCCTGATATTCTAAATTTTTAGGGCGGGATGGGAGCGCTCAAGCAGCGGAGGAAGAGCGATGGCGCTCCCGATGGCGCCGCTGCTCCTGTGCGAGGTAGGGGAAGATTTGGAGTTGCGCTGGAATGAGATTCTTGTGCTGCATTTGCAGGATTGGATAGGAAATCCAGCGGGAGCCTGTGGCTGGCGCCTTGTCCCAGCAAGCGATGGGGCGAGCTCTTCTTTCTGGCGTATAGTCCCGTTTGGATCGTGCTGTGTCTCGGAATCATAGTGCCGCTCAGGATCTACGAGGTAAAACTTTGATCTTGGCAATGTAGGAAGTAATGCGCTCTCTCTCTCTGTCTCTCTCTCTCTCTCTCTCTCTCGCAGCATTTTAAGGAGCTCGAGTATTTTCTGCTGGGATTGGTGGTGGCACTGCCGTGTTTTGTCGTTCCAGTGTTTCTCGTTGGAAAGGTATTGGAGTTTTTCTTTCAGTCTTTCCGACTTGTTTCGTGATGTCTTTCTTTGATCAGGAAGACAAGAAGCTGCGTTGGTATGATCGCTACTGGATAAAGGTGTGGATGCTTCTTCCTGGTTTTATAGCTAGCTATGTCCGATTGTTCTCGTTTTCCAGGCGAACTTGTGGGTTGCGATTTTCGGATACGTTGGAAACTACTTCTGGACGCATTACTTCTACACTGTTCTTGGTGCAACTTACACGTTCCCGTCCTGGAGGTTAAATCATGTACGAGCACGGTACAAAGTTTTCAATTTCCTTGTTTCTCGTAACATCGCTTGCTGAAACGATGGACTGATCGTTCCAGGTGCCGCTTGTGACATTCTTCCTTACGCATGCTTACTTCCTCTTTTATCATATGGTGTCCGACTTCACGCTGAGGCGACTCCGCCACGCTCTCAAAGGATCAAACCGAGTTTTTAGCTGGGGATGTCAAGCGCTGTGGATCTTCGGTTTGTCCTACCTTACGGCGATCATGGAAGCTGTGACAATCTCCAACGTAAGTACTTTTCCTTTTATGAACTTCACGAAGCTGATAAACAAGTTTCTTTCCTTCTTTTCTAGTTTCCTTACTACGACATGGTGGACAGAGACGCATTCTACAGAATTGGATCGCTATTCTACGCCATATACTTTTTTGTGAGCTTCCCCATGTTTATCAGGTTCGTTCGCTTCGCTTCCCCCGAGCGCGATAGAAACTTTAGTTTTGATGTGCAGGCTAGATGAAAATCCTCGCTCTCGATGGACGCTGTCGCAAACTGCCATTGATTCCTTGGCTGCGGCGATGATCGTGACGATCTTGCTAGATCTGTGGAGAATTGGTCTGGGTCCTATCGTGAAGTTACCAGGAGCAGCGTCTTATGAATCGTGTGTTTCCTATGGTATTCCCTGGCTCGCGTGAACATTGCAGAAGGACAAATCATAAGTGGAAACTCCATTCTGTTGTGGTATCCTTGGGTGCCTGTAGGTCCAGATCCTGTGCCTGAAAATCATGTCAATGGGTGAAAAAACCATCGGTTACTGTTAGTATTGCACTGCCAGATGGCATCAATTTGCTCCACATTACCAAATTCAACATTTTTGTGTTCTAGATCGTGCTATTTTAGACCCTACATTGTTATCCTTCAAAACCTCAGTATTCATACTTTAGTACCTCTCTTACCTTTTGAAACCTACCAACTGTGAAGGGTGAAGCAAAGTGAACTAACTTTAAAATAAAGTTTCCCTTATGTAGCTGAAACAAGAGTTCCACAGTGCAATGCTTTGAATTCTTTAGGACAAATGCTCTTGCTCAGTCTGCTCTCCACCTTGCTCTTAAACCCACTGTTAGAAAGTATGAATTAAGATAATCCTAAAACCAGATTGGAATTGGAAAAGGGCAAAAGTCCTCTTATTTGAGTATACTGAGAAAAAAGAGAGGAGTGATTTAAGTTGTAATAATAGTAAACACCAGATGAGCTCATTGAAATGGTTGCCAACTGGAAAAAAAAGAATCTGAAATCAAAATACTATGATCTAAAAAGAAAACATGAAATACCTTTATGAAAGTTCATACAAAAGACCTAATAGGATAGGTACCCTTTTTTCTAAATGTGAGCAGCTTCCAGAAGAAGGGAGGTGTTAATTATAATATTGTTCCACCAATAAGCTTGAAATGGCAAGAAACTAGTGAGGGATTTCCTTCTTAGATTTGAAGTCTTATGAGATTCTCAACTCTAGTATGGCTTTCATGATTTGCTTCTACATCTCCTTTGCTATATCTAGCATAGAGGAAAGTGGGGATGGGATATTAGTATACACTAGGATCCCACTAAAGTAGACTTAAAGGCTCCAAAATGAAAAGTCTTCGAGATGGGTATTAGAGAGAGCTATAAATATCTAGATCCTGTGGGAAGTGCATAACCAAAATTATATAAAGTATAGTAGAGATAATGGGTATATTAAGCACTAGCCTTATTGTTTATCTTATGTTTAAACCCATGGATGCTTAACCTTAAATCTTTAACTGATTAAAAAAAAAAAAAAAGGTGCATTAATCCTTTCCTTATAAATTATAGATTGTATTTTGAGTTGGTTTTTTACTCTATTAAGTGTATTTATCCTTATTTTGCATTTGGCTTAAATCTAAACCCAAATTCTAGTTGTGAGACATAAATCCCTAAACCTTAAAGTGGAGTTAAAAGTATGCCATATGGCAGTGGTCAAAATAAGAGTCCAATGAGTATAACACATTTATCCACCTTATGCAATTTGCCACCTTCGATTGTTTGAGAGCAAATATCAGTACAATTTCTCACTAAGACATGGTTAAAAAAATAATCCCCATTCTGCAACTATTATAAATTTTAAAACGAAGTCCCTAATTTGTAACCAATAAGTGACATTGAACAAAAGTCTTCCAAAAGGACTCGAACACATGACAGAGGGTATAGTTAGGGTTTATCATTTTGTGAATGGCAGCATGGCGGGGGTTGCATCGCCGCTTTGCGCCTAGGATCAGGCCAGCAGCATTCGCATGGAGCGCGCGATGGAGCTCCAATGCAGCCAGTGCCGCCGCTAAGAACATCGATCTCAGCAAGTTCCCGGTGTCGCTGATCAGGAATTTCTCCATCATCGCACACATTGACCATGGCAAGTCGACCCTCGCGGATCGATTGCTGGAGCTCACCGGAACGATACAGAAGGGTAAAGGCCAGCCGCAGTATCTCGACAAGCTCCAGGTATGAGAAATCTTTGTATCAAGCCAGGAAATTCTTTTGAGTGTGCTAGAATTCTCATCTTTGTTAATACTGCATTTTTTCTCTCTCTGTATCGCTCTGTGTGGATTCTGATAAATTGTTTTCGTTTCGTTTCTAGGTGGAACGGGAACGAGGTATTACTGTGAAAGCACAGACTGCCACCATGTTCTACGACCTCAAGAACGAAGATGATGGTTCTTCCGAGCAGTACCTTTTGAATCTTATCGACACACCGGGTCACGTCGACTTTAGCTACGAGGTTTCTCGATCGCTCGCTGCTTGCCAAGGTGTGCTCCTGGTGGTGGACGCGACGCAGGGCATTCAAGCACAGACAGTGGCCAACTTCTACTTGGCTTTCGAGGCCAACTTGACGATCATTCCTGTGATCAACAAGATCGACCAGGCGACTGCTGATCCAGAGAGAGTGAAAGCGCAGCTCAAGACCATGTTTGATCTGGAACCCGAGGATGCACTGCTTACCTCTGCAAAGACTGGGCAAGGACTCTCGGAGGTTTTACCGGCGGTCATCAAACGAATTCCTCCTCCGACTGGTAGATGCCATTTGCCACTGCGAATGCTCATCCTGGATTCTTACTTCGATGAGTACCGGGGTGTCATTTGCAATGGTGCCGTGGTGGACGGATCCATCAAGAAAGGTGACAGGATAGCCTCGGTAGCGACCGGTCAGACTTATGACGTTCTCGACACTGGAATTCTACATCCGGAGCTAACGTCGACTGGAATGCTTCAAACCGGCCAAGTTGGATACTTGATTGCGGGGTTGAAAGCTACGCAAGAAGCACGGGTTGGAGATACTATGCATCATGCGAATGTGTCTGTTGAAGCTCTTCCTGGTAAGCATTTCTCTTTTATGCTTCTACAATTAACTTACATCCTTGTTGTTGATACTCAGGTTTCAAGCCTGCGAAGCATATGGTTTTTGCTGGCATTTATCCGGCTGATGGATCAGATTTCGAAGCTCTGGCTCAAGCCATGGAACGGCTCACATGCAACGATGCTAGTGTTAGCGCTACCAAAGAAACGAGTGCTGCCTTGGGCATTGGGTTCAGGTATGATGCATGGCAATTCAAAGTTAACGAACACAGACTTTATAAACTATCAGGTGTGGCTTCCTTGGACTTCTTCACATGGATGTGTTTCATCAGCGGCTAGAGCAGGTTAAAATTTGTGGAGTGTTTGAGTTTTCTGATTTTTTTCTTTCTTTCAGGAATTTGGAGCCCAAGTCATAGCAACAGCTCCAACCGTGCCTTACATTTTTGAGTTTCAAGATGGGAGGTGAGTGAGCTGTATGCGATGCTGTGTTCTTAACTCCAAGAGTTGCAGCAAACTAAATGTCCAAAATCCAGCGCTCTTACCTTCCCAGCCAGCTCAGAAAATAGTTTCCGCTATGGAACCAGTCGTGGTTGCGACGATTATTACACCTAGTGAGTAAGCCCGTGCCGCTTGTTCTATGATGAATTCGTCCCGTCACTGAAAGACTGCTTGTTTCAGGCATGTTGGAGCTCTGATCACTCTTTGTTCAGATCGAAGGGGTGAACAGCTTGAGTTTTCCTACATTGACAGGTAAAGAGTTTGCTCTAGACTTTCAGATCTTTTGATAAACGACGTTGCAGCCAGCGGGCATTACTAAAGTATCGGCTTCCCTTGCGTGAAGTGGTCGTCGATTTTTACAGTGTGCTCAAGAGTATCACTTCTGGCTATGCTTCCTTTGACTACGACGATGACGGGTAAAGCCATATGTTCCTTTTCAATTCACCGTGACATTGCTGCGTGTTGCACAGCTACCAGGAAGCGGACCTTGTGAAAGTCGACGTGCTGCTCAATGGTCAGGCAGTGGACGCTCTTTCCACCATAGTTCACCAGGCCAAATCCGTGAGAACTGGTCGAGAGATTGTGGACAAGCTAAAGAAAGTTCTTGACAGGTAAGTCTCATTTTCCAAAGTCTAGATCGATCATACTGACGCCTCAAATCCAGGCAAATGTTCGAGGTAACGATACAGGCAGCAGTAGGAAGCAAAGTTATAGCTCGAGAATCGTAAGTCACGATCGTTTCAACTCTCTAGCTCTACAATCTCATTTTTTTTTTTTGTGTACAGGATTTCTGCTTTGAGGAAGAATGTGTTGGCCAAGTGTTATGGAGGGGACGTAACACGAAAGAGGAAATTACTAGACAAGCAAAAGGAAGGGAAGAAGCGAATGAAACGCTTTGGCTCGGTGGACATACCACAAGAGGCATTCCACGACCTCTTAAAGCAGTGAGAGAGCGCGAAACGCCGCCACGTGGCGGCAGGCAGTTGGAGCAGTAAAATTTTGAAATTTGTTATCCCGCCGAGTTGGGCGGAGTTAAAAGCGCTGTACGGCGTCCGAGGTAGAGTCCACCGGCGATAGGCGGTGGCCGGTGGGCCAGGCGGCGGGCGGAAGCTAGAACGGGCGAATATTCCTGGGCTTTCCTGTCTTAGGGGAGGGGGATATTCGCCGGCGTGCAAAGATTTGTGTGCCTGGTGATGGAGCGCATGCAAGAGCGCCGGCAGGGCGATCGCGGCTAATCGCTTGGCGGCGCGGCGGTGGAGGAGAAGGAGGAGGCCGATCGATCGATCCATGGTGCTGTACCGGCCGCCCAAGCGTGCTCGCGTGGTGGAGCGCTTCAGCCTGGAGAGATTTGGGAGCGGCGGCTACCCGGCGGATTTCTCAGGGCCATTCCGGAGCAACGTCCGCGCCTTCTTGAATGAGTTTGGGCAGATGATGGCGGCGCCGATGCCCGGCGTCCAGCGCTGGTGCGTCCCCTTGGTGTCGCAGCGCGGCGCCGAGCAATCGCTGCTGGTGCTCGAGGAATTGCCGTTCGAGTCGGGCGCTCTCGGCTGCTCCCACTGCCGCATTATCGGTACGTTTCGATCGCGCGCGGTCGCGAGATCGCTAGCGCGAGAGGGAGAAAGAGAGGATTCTAGAATGAAATTTCGATCGATCGTGGTGTTTCTTTGTTTCTTAGGCTGGAGCCATCACCCGGTTTGCGGTGCGCGGTACCATTTCATTCTCCACGCTCCTGGAAAGCTGGAAGCTTTGGGAGTGGGCAAGGGACATAAGCTATGCAGTCACTGTGGCAGCGTCATTGCTTCGTCTATCACAAGGTAACCATGGCTGTGAGAAAAAAACTCTATACAGAGAAGCTAGAAAAGAGGTTGCAGATGTCCAAAGTGTGGGCTAAGTTCTTCGCGAACTATCGTTTTGGAGAACACGTCCCATCTCCTCCACGGGATCATACACTCGAATGGCTACGGGCATCTCTTGAGAGTCAATGGCTTCGAGGGAGGATCCTCGTCTCTCTCCGGCCGTGAGATCATGAACTTGTGGGATCGCTTGTGCACCATGATGCGAGCAAGGTATGCTTCACTTTGGTTTTCTTTCGCTCAACCTTCTCTTGTTTCTTCGTTTTTATCCCAGGAAAGTTAGTGTTCTTGATGCTTCCAAGAAGTTTGGAACCAGCTTTCGATTGCTTCATGCTGTTGCAAAGGGTCAGCCCTGGTATGGTTTGTGGGGCTATCAGTTTGGGAGGGGAAGCTTTGGCATAACAGATGCTGCGTACAAGAAAGCCGTCAACCAGATTGCGAGCACTCCGCTCAGCTTTTTCCTGGATTTGGGAGACGAAAGGCTGCGCCGCATCGCTACTTATTATCGGAACGGTCGGACTGGGAACTTGCAAGAGCTCGTGAGCCATTTCATGGAGCTTCTTCACGCACTCAGCAGCAAGGCGACGGGCTCCAAAGCTACTGTGCCCGCTGGAGTGAATGCTCCTCCGGCTCCGGCTCCGGCTCCAAACCGTAACTCCCAGCGCTGGTCGGCCAAGAGACTGGACAAAACACTGGACGTTCTCCTGACTGCGCTGCGGCAATTCGGCTTGAACGAGTGGATGCCGAGGATCAAGCTGCGAGAGCAAGCTCGACTGCACATTGGCGATACGGGCTTGCTTGATCACAGCCTGTGCAGCTTCGTCGGAAAGATTGTGGGTGATCTGGTCGTGCAAAGACGGCGTGACGAGCAGTTTCGGCAGCTCGAGTACAGGTAAAAGAGTGTCTTACCTTTTCTCGTGCTAATTAATGATCTCTCAGGTTGGCCAGGATTGAGTCGCCAGAGATCCAAGACAAAAAGGAAGAGGCAGACGCGCCAGAGTTTTCCAAAGTTCTGGATGATCTAAGGTACTTATACAGCAAAGTTCTTGCGGGTGGTCTTCTTCCCGAGGACGATCCTCTGGCACAAGCGAGCAGGACAGTCCTGGACACGAAGCACTTCATAAAGGACTACAATGGAAACTCCGAGACAGATCCATGCGACGAGCCAGGAGCGGAGGTATTCAGAGTCCAGTGCCGGATGGAATCGGTGGAGCAAGGTGGCGATCAGGGAGGAGCTCCCAGCGAGCTGGTGGTGCTGCCGGCGAGCGCTACGGTGGGAGATCTCAAGCGAGAGGCGGCCAAGGCGTTCAGGGACGTGTACCCGAGCTTGGGCCAGCTGCGCGTGACGAGCATCCCGGTCCTGGAGGGCGAGGCGGACGAGAGGCCGCTCAAGCTGGTGAAGATCCAAAGGACGGCGGAGGTGGCGATCAGGGCGACCGGGATCGACAACAGGTTCTCGGCGGGGAGGTTTGAGAAGGGAGTGGACGACTGGGTGGTGAATTGCCGGTGTGGAGCTCGAGACGACGATGGCGAGCGCATGGCGGCGTGCGATTCCTGCGGCGTGTGGAGCCACACGAGGTGTGCGCACATCAGGGATGGCGATGATGTTCCAGAGCAGTTTTTCTGTGGCGGCTGTACATAACTTTTCTTTCTTCCTTCGTTATCCCCTTATATCTCATTTGAGAAGATTTAGGGTTTATCATGGTCAATTTTATATATCCTTAATAGTCAAAGGGTCAACGGTCCTAGAATTTAGGGTTTGTCATGGGATATGGTCAACGGTCGAGGGTTTTGAATTTAAGGGCTTTTATGCTTTGTTCCTTGTGGAGGAGAAGAAGGGCGCCCATGGCGGCAATGGCGGCGCTCTTCTTCAGCAGCGCGCTCTCCAGCACCAGCGCGGTGGCGATGGCGACGGCGGCGCCAGTGCCGTGGCCGGTCGCGGGGACGGTCCCCCTGGCGGAGCTGCTGCGAAATCTTCCGGCGCTCAAGGAGGTGAGGGTGATGAAGCAACAGGAGCAGCAGCAAAGCGAGGCGGAGCTGCGCTGCGTCGTGGTGGGAAGCCTGTGCGAGAATGCGCGCGTGTACAAGCAGCCGGCGCTGGGCCTCCTCACGGCGCTGCGAGACGAGCGCGATCCCGGATGCACCATCAAGCTCCTGGTGTCGAATTTCACGCTCTCGTCCTCCACCGACGCGGATGCCCGCGCGTGGTTCCCTCGGGGAGCGGTGGTGAGAATCACGGAGCCGCGGGTTCTTCTCGCTGGAGCAGTGGGAATGGCGATGATGGTCGACAATCCAGCGTCCGTTGAGATCGTGGGCTATGGCGATCTGGCCAACGAGGATGGGAATTCTCTGTGGAAGGAAGCCAATGCTGCGTACTCGCGTGGGGAGTACCGGAGAGCGGCGTTTCTCTACGTGGAGTGCGTGGAGCGTGGATTTCCTGGAGCCTTGCAAGCTTTCTCCCGTAGCAGCGAGGCTTGGCTCCGGCTGGGATTCCACGAGAAGGCCTTTCTCGACGCGAGCAGGGCTCTGGCTGTGAATCCTTCGCATTTCCAGAGCCTGTTCGTCAAGGGACAAGCTCTGGTCGCCATGCAAGAGTATGCTATGGCGCTCGAGTGCTTGCAAAACGCGGGGAAAGTTCTCGCCGCGTCCCCGGACGAACAAGGCATGGCAAGAAAGGTGGCGGAAGCTTGCGAGCACTGCTCGGCACTACAAGAACAAAGCGTGACCGGCGCTTACGATCTCTCACAGTTCCTGCTCGGCGGAAGGAATCCAAGCCTCGCTCCAGTGCTCAGCGACTTCGTGGGATCCGTGAGGCTGCAGCTTGTCCAAGGCAAGGGACGGGGCTTGTTCGCCACCAAGGACCTCAAAGCTGGCGACCTCGTCCTCGTATCGAACTCCATCGCCCGCTCGACCAAAGGCGGCCTGGAGTTCCACGCGAAGATTGGCCGGGTTTGCGCGGCAAACCGGCGAGTCCTCGCGCAGCTCACGGCCTTCTTCGACGAGAGGGAGATGTTTGGCATGGATCTGTTCCTCCCAAACAGCGGCTGGTTCCAGGCACATGACGATCACTCCACGCCGACTTCGTCGTATCGCTACGTCTTCAAGGAGCTGGGAAGCAGGAATGGCCTGTGTCCTCTCGCAACCATGATCAACCACTCGTGCCTCCCAAACGTCTCGAGGCATCCGGTGGGAGGAGCTCTCTTCGTGCGAGCTGGGAGGGACATCTCCGCCGGGGAGGAGCTCATCACTAGCTACGTGAATCCATTCCAGCCGCTGGCCGAGCGGCGCAAGCAAATGGCCGAGAGGAACTTCAAGTTCGTGTGCCGCTGCGACCGATGCAAGCTCGAGGAGAGGATCGAGGCCGAGAAGCCGGGCGTGGCGACGAGATACATCAGCGCTCTGCAAAACCGGGGGGATCCAAGCGCGGCTCTCATGGAGATGGTGAAGATCTCCGAGGAGCTGGACTCCGTGGTGGAAGTCGGCAAGACCAGGGACTGGATAGTTTCCTCGTATCCATACGTCTACTGGACTGCCGGCTATCTCTCCCGCGGGAGCAAGGCCGAGAAGGAGGCGAGGCTGGAGAGCGCGGCCGCGGCGTTCCACGAGACCGCCCCGGGGGACTTGCTCACGCTGCGGAGGATGGTGGAGCTTTGCAGCCCCGGCGGGAGTGACTTTAGCGGCGGCCCTGTGCACTGCAGCCGTGCCATGAGGGAGATCTTGGAGCGAGAGGCTGTGTCGTGCTTTGGACACCATAGCCAAGAGGTGCTGGATGCTGTGATACGTACCCCCGGTGCTACTGCCGCGGGAGATCTCTCGTTCTAGATTCACAGATGGAGTGTAGCCGCCTAGAACTCCCAGTGGTGCTGCCGGGTGGAGACGCAGTGATTCCTTGACGATGGCTTCGCTGTATGGGAGGTTTGGAAGATCGGACTCTTGCACTGGGCGACGCTGTCCATCTCGTCTTGAGCCTTGGGCATGACTCGGGGATGGTTTAGGAGCTCTGCCATTGTCCACTCGAGCGTCACTAGTGAAGTTTCCAACCCCGCTACAACCATGTCCTGTGATTGCAACAAGGAAAGAAAGAGGCTTCGAGAGATCACGACCACGGGCGAGATGGAAGTTGGTAGAACTTACCAGTCCCAGAATGGAGATGTTTGGCAACTGAGAGATATAAGAATCCTCCTCGAGAGATATAAGAACGTCGGTGAAGCCTGGACGAACGCGTCCCCAGCTTGATCTTTCCTGCGTCGATGCTTGTCGATTTGATCTTCCAGCAAGAGCTTCAGGCGAGGCATGAGCTCCGAGTTGATTTTCTTGTAGACTCCAATTGAAGATCCAGCCGATCTAGTGCCGGGAGCAGGATTCCAACGTTCAAGTACAAGCTTAGAGCGGCTATGTTCCGGATGAGATCCACCACCTCCAGCCCTCGCTCGCTGAAAAGAACGAGGCAAAGCGAATTTGACAAGAGAGTGTTGAAAACCTCTTGCAGGTTGATCGCTTTCCCGCTGGAAGATGGACTTGACTGTATGCTTCATCTCTGACTCGCGGAATCCTGCGCTTTACCTTGAGCATGTTGTTGCTAAACAGGTGTGTGCTGCAAATCCTCCTCATTGTCTTCCGCTTACCACCGATGGGTGCGAGGATGAGATCGTTCCAGTTGTGGCTAACGATCCGGACGAACTCGTCGTCGCCGGCTTGCAAACTCGAGGTCGTGGGCCTTGAGAACCTGTGCGGCCGTTTCGTTGTCGTTCACCACCACCAACGGGGCCATTCCGATCTTGAGGTAGATAATCGGCCCATACTTCTTGCTGACCTTTGCAAAGTAGTGGTGGAGTGGCTCCTCGAGGGAGAAAGAGCGCTCCGAAAATGGGGAAAGAGAATGGACCTGGAGGGAGCTCCGAGGATCGAATTCTCCCGATGAGAAGGCAGGGTGTGATCCAGCCGATGCCAAGGACGAGCAAGGCCACACCCAAGTTCATCTCGATTCGATGGTCTGGATCTACGAGCCGTCGCCATATTATAGAGGTGCAACTGCACTTGCATCCAGAATTCTCCCGGAATCACGCGGCTGGTATGGAAAAGTAGAGCAACTGGTAGATTTTTCTTTCTAGGCAAAGATCGTTGAGCAGTTGGAGCAAGACTTGTCGCTGGACGCTGTTTGCCATGAGAAGGTATGCTGCCGTCAACCTGCTGCAGCATCGCGATATGTCCAGGCATTACATGTTTAAAATGGTTCTTCCGTTTAACTTCTTGTATTTATAATGTATAAACTTTCCTAAACACTTTTTAGTATATTCTAGTTTATTTTTCTCTTCAAAAAGAATTCTTTTATCCAAAGCCTCCTAGTGAAAGCCAGAAATTTGAGAGAACGGAAGGAAGCGCAGATTTCGCATCAGCTATCCCGAAAGTGGCCGTATTTCTCCCAAATGGAAGTCGAATCAAGCGCTGGAGAAGGGATTTTGTGGAGGAAAGCGAATCGCAAAATAAAAACTCGTATTGTAATGAGAGCTTTGTAATTTAATATTTTTATTAAGGGGTTGTAGCTCAGATGGGAGAGCGCTCGCTTAGCATGCGAGAGGCACTGGGATCGACACCCAGCATCTCCAAATATATTTGCCAGGTTTTGACTGATGTTGACTAGCCGTCAAGAGCTTCGGGACTGCGCACTAGCGCTCCAGCCTAAATAGAAGATTGTAAAGGTGGAATCGTTGGGCATAGGCTTGGGTCTACACGCGAAAAGTTTGAGAAGAAAGAGGACGCGATCATCATGAAGATATCAAGACTGTGATCGATATGTACACCCTGGTATTGGAGCTCTTTGACAGGATGAACTCTTGAAGTTTCATTGCTGCTATGCGCTGCTCAAGCCGAGGAGTGGAGGTCAGTGCCAAGAGGCCACTACAACGCCGACGTGTTCGTAGGGAATGGTCTCGTGGATCTATATGAAGCATGCTCGGGTTTTTATATGAACCGATACCACGAAAGAACGATGGATCCTTTCTAGGTGATCGAATGGAGGGCGTCCATTTCCACAAAACTCCATCATGGCGTGTCACATCATTTATCCTCTCACCCAGATTACCTTCCATAGCATGTGGAATTCTGAGGTTGTGAAGCTCTTGATTTTATGCTTCCCCCTAATATCCGTTGGATTGAGAAATATCCTCAGCTTTCCTCTCCAACCAGTACTTCAATCACTTACGCTTAAATGTATTCCTCCATAGTATTAACAACAAATCGCCTGTGAGATAGTTTTACACAAATAAAAATTGTCTCTCTTCTCCAAACCGTGCTTTCACATAAAGTACGTCAGTGTCGCCTTCTTCCGAGTGCCCCCTTCACCGTACTGCTCGTTCCATTGCTGCAACTCTCCCATGATACCAGCATCCGAGGACACGCTTGATCGAACCTGTGACGAAGAAAGCTCTTGAAAACCATTCCAAATCGAAACCTCCTCACCTTCTCCATTGCGTGCCGCATGTCAGCCATTGAGATTGGACGAATGTAGGGCGTGACTCCGGTTGGAGCTGCCGGCTTCTCAACCCCTTGGGCTTTCGCTTTCTCCATCTCCTGCAACCAAACAATCCCTTTTAGCGCGAGCTTGCTCTAAACACCACTTACCTTCTTTTCTTGTTCCAAGAGTTCTCGTATCCGGATGTAGGCCGCCGTTGTGCACAGATTCTACACGCCAAAGGAA